GGGTGGGGGGGGGGGGGGGGGGGGGGGGGGGGGGGGAATGGAGATGTTAACCGCGTTTGGCGTTGGGATGGGAAAGTTCTTGATGAAAGGAAAACCAGCATTTTTTTAAACGAATCGGAAATTCATTCTCGTGGAAGGTAAAAAAAAAAATGTTAAGTAATTCTTTTTTCCATGGCCGATGGATAATGATGGAAGAAATTTCCCACCCAGTTTTATCACGAAATAAAGTTAAAGGTTCGCGACACGCTTCATTTTAAGCGATCTACGCTTAATATTCGTTCCTTATTAATTTATGCCAGTACCGCACTGCAAATATTTATGCGAACAGTTGACGACGGTCAGTCGGATTACCGGGCGGCCACGGACAACAGCGCCTCGGCGACGGCCTCGACCATCACGCTTCTCACCGTCACGGCCTCCATTCTCTACTGGCACGGGAGGGGGCACGGGATGTCGCGGCTGCTGGGTCTCTGCTTGGAGCTGAACGAGGGGGGGCAAGGGAGGGGGCAAGGGTGGGGGCAAGGGTGGGGGCATTGGCTGGCGCTGCTCCTGGTGGTGTCGTACGGGGTGCTCTTCACGGTGCTCAACGTGCTCACGGGGGATAAGAGCGCGGTGGTGGCGCTGAAGGTGGTCGCTTGGGGGTTCGCCAACGTCATCGTCGTGTTTCAGCCGGTTCTGTACTGCTGGGTCTGCTGGGAGATCTATCGATTCGAGAAACTGTTCATCGAAAAGGTGGGGATGAGATTCTTTGACGACTTCTTGCGGGGTCTCGAAACCGCGTCTCGAGGGGATGGAGAAAATCTCTCGGCAGATCGAGGGCGCCGGGATGACGGTGAGAAGGTGGCTCGACTCCCGGGAGACGCTGGAGCACCTGGTCCTCGAGATGAACCGGCTCTACGGGCCGCTGCTCGCCCTGCACCTCGCCTTCAACGGGGCCGTCCTCACGATCTTCGTCTATCTCGCCGTGAGGGACCTGGACCGGCGGGACCCGCGATGGGAGCACTTCGCGATCAACGTCGCGAATTGCGTCGGGGCGTTCATCCCCTTGCTCATCTTCAACTTCGCGTCCGAGGCGGTCGAGAGAAGGGTATGGGGCCTTCGTCGGGCCTTGATGGTCCTTGATTTCGACTAGGATCAGCGGACTGCTTAAGAAAGCTTCTGATCTATGCTAAATTTTTTTTTGCAGGAGAGTAGAAAAAAATTTCTGGCGATCAAAAATTCGTTCCTAATTTAGAAATATGTATTTATCAATAGCCGATTTACTTAAAATCGGCGAAATTTCGTTTCCTCTCACGGTTACGGTTACATTTAATTATATACTATACATCGTAACTTTATTTATATATTTATATTAAGTTTCCCCATGGCGTTTTTAAATTTTCCTCGGTTGTGCCAGCTTAAGCTTAAGCTTAATCAGCTTAAGTCACGGAGCCTCTTTGCACATATCATAACCTCACGCTCTCTTTTCCTCTCCTTTCCCTATTCGAATCCTAATTAAATTTGTTTCCCGCGACAAACATTTGGCGCGCAGGAGGAACACTTCTGGAAGGCGATGGCCTACCGCGCATCGGAGCAGGCGGTGCCGCTGATGGACGGCGATCCCCTCAGGGCCGGCGACGCGGGGGAGAGGAGGGAGACCATCGCGGATAAGGAGCAGGTTGGGTCGTCTGAGATTGTTTCGTCGAGATCGTTCGGTGTTTCGTTGAGATCGTTCGATTGTTTCATCGAGATCGTTCGGTGCAGATGAGACACATGGCGTTGTTCTACGAGTCGCGGATGATCAACTTGACGGCGGCCGGGTTCGTCAACGTCGGGAAGGGGTCTCTCACCACGGTAAAATCAATCGATACTCGATCGATCTGTGAATCCGATGAGAGAAGGTCCATTGCGCTTTTGTTTGCGAATAGTTGCTGAACGTGATCACGACGTACATCGTGATCCTGTTCCAGTTCGGGAAAGAAGACAAGAACCAAGTCGTCGCACCCACCGCATCCGCGACAACTTTGTCCGTGGCAACTGCCTTCCGACACCTGTTCAACGCGACTACCGTTCGCAACCTGGTCGATGCGACTACCGTTCACAACCTGTTCAACGCCACCGTCATCCCCAATCTCTTGAATCTCACCACTAACCCCGGTCTCTTCAATGGCACGGCCACCACCGGTCTTTTCGATGCCACGGCCACCACCGATCTCTTCAATGGCACGGCCATCACCGGTCTCTTCAACGGCACCGGGAATGCCACCGTCTTTTAAGCAAGGAGACCCGATCGCTTTTGTTTGTCTCTTCACTTGATTATCGCTTAGAGTTGAAGTTAGCCCTCCACGAGAAGCGGAACAATTTCCACTGAATGTTACTTCAGCGAGTTTTAAATTTGTAATGAAATTTGAAATGCAACGCCTTCGAGCCCCGGTTTCGCTCTTCGTTTCCAAACTGAATTCCAATTTAAT